TTTATAATTACTGCCCCACTCAGCTCTAGGGCTAAATTGTGCAATTAAAACTCCATTCCAAACCACCCAAACTGCTGAAGGTTTTGGAAGGCACAAGAATGGGAGTATCGGGCATAAACTGCAGGGTTTATGGTATTTACACAAGAGCACCCAATTAGTTCATGCATGAGTGCCAGAAGAATACACACAAGCACCCCATCAGCTCATGCATGAGTGCCAAATGACTTCACCCATGCGCATCCAGGCAGTTTATGCAGGAATGCTACAGTACATCATGCATGAGCACCCCATTAACACACAAGTGCCTGATCAGGCTGTGCATGAACTGCTCATTAATGTATTCATATGTGCACAGTTAATTCATGTATGAGCACATGATCAGTTCATGCATGGGTGCCCAACTGGTACATGCATGAGCACCCAATCAGTTTATACACAGCTGCCTAACCAGTATATGCTGGAATGCCCTATTAGGTCATGCTTGAGCACTCCAGTGTCTCATGCATGAGCACCCAAATAACTTATGCTGGAGGGATGTATTTCATGCATGAGCACCCAATTAGTACATGCATGAATGCCCAGGGAATTTATGCTTCAGGACTCAAATATTCCATGGGTGAGCCCCAGTCAGTTTGTGCACGAGCACCCCATTGACCCACCTTGAGGACTGTGTTGGACATCCATGCATGTTTTGGTAGCTGGGGCTGCAGTGGTGCTTCTGCAAGGTGCTGGTCACAGCCACTGCCCCAGCCATCTGTGAAACTGATGGAAACACCCAAAATAGCCCAAAGCATCAACCCAAAGAGCTCCCAGTATCCCAGCTCAGGCATATTTGAGAGAGGGCAGAGGAGGCACACAGAGGGAGAGATAGGTGAGGAGATAAGGGGCTGGAGATGAGCTCTTGGAAGGAGGCAATCCATACACAAGCAGCACACCCCAAGGAATTCCTGAAGGACAATTCATAGGCAATTTTAACTACTTCTGCATGTCTTCTGCAGAAGTGTCAGAAACACCACCTCTGGAACTAAACAGAAGTTGTCTAGAAACTCTGATACAGGCCAGCTGCTTGTGATTCTGCAGCGTGTCCACAAGAACTCAAACCCAGAAAGGAGTGACTGGTAGTCTCCAGAAAAGTCTCACTCTTAACAAAATGTATTAGCTTAAGTAGGATAAAGGATGAAGCTCTACAGGCTGTGCTGCACAGGAGCTCAGATACAATGATATAATGACACATGGTGGTCATAATATTTATGATCTTATCAGTCCAACTCACGTCTCTTAATCACTGCTAAGTCCAACTTGCACAACTTTCCTTGTTCAGGCTAAAGAAAAACAAGGTGGTATGTATTAAGCCTCGCTCATGCCAATAAAAATGTACTACAGGAATGAATGTATTTATTAACTCTCAGCAGTGATGCCAACAGTTTTGGCTCAACTGCAGTTTCCTGGCTTTGGACACAGGGTCACACATCTCTAAGAATTTTGAATCTTGCCCTGGAGTAAGGAAAGTTCTGAAGCCTGAGCTAGAGCTGGCTGCCACAGGGGACACAAAGCAAAGCCCAGGCGCCCCTGAAACAGTATGATAGCTTTTTCAACATTCAAATAGAACAATTTAAACATTTGCAAGAGCAGGAGAAAGGCTGGCTGCAAGATGGTTTACATCAGCTCTTTGCACTTACATGCAGTTAGATGCAAAGAAAGAAGCCAGCCAGAGCCCTCTGCCTTGGCCTGAAAGGAGAGGCTACTCTTGCAAGCCCCAGTGATCCAAGCCCTTTCAGGAGCAAGACAAGCATGGGACTGGCTGTAAGGCAAGAGGAAGAGTGTGTCTACCTGGCTGGCAACCAAACTCACAAATGCAAAATTATTTATTATTTACCACAACCAATTATTTCCTGATTGGCAAAAGCTACAAATTTGCTCCTTTTAGCTTTTTATTAGGGATCCAGAAATTACCATGGCAGGATGGCAAGAAGTGCTTCTCACTGCCTAGAAAACAGCAGATGTGGGCAGAAACAATTATCGCTATTATGTGTTAGTCTCAGCCATGAGCATCTCACAACTGTAAGAGTCTTGTCATTAACTCCAAACACCCCCATACACCCTGTGCCCTTCTCCGCATGTCCTTCACACCAGGACAGGACATACTTCTTCACTTGATTGCATATTCAGTGCCTAGTGCAGTAAGAGGCAGGTAACTCCCTGGAGACTCATGCTGAAAGCCAGAAACACTTTTAGCATTTAACATGGCCAATCCACCAGGGTCACAGTCAACCTGAGCATCTTGAATGTGTTCACGCAATCATAGTGCTGCTACATCACTGAAAATAACTCACTTTGGAGACCCAAACGTGGCCTGAAGAATCCCTTCTGAAAACGAGTCTTGAACTCTCAAATCCCTACGCGGTTACTGAGAAAGTAAATACATTATTAGAATCAGAAGTAAGAGACTACATATGGCCGCAGAAGGGAATTAGCCAATAGGTTTACACAGGAGTATTTGGAGGGAGATTCAGAACATGCTCTAAGCAGAATTTGCCAAACAAGATTTATGGAGTCTCCTGCTCTGCTTCTGAACTGGTCCTCCTTCCTAGCTGAAACCTAGAAGAACCAGAGGCACCTTTCTCCTAATGCAGGCAAGAGCTGCACTTGGGAAGTCACTAACCCCACCAGAGGACCCATCCTATCCAGCCCTAAAGGGCAGGATTAGCCAACAAATTTGGTTGGTAATCATTTGGATTCACATTTCATTTACACATCTCCATCAGCTCCAAATGAGGCACCCTTTCCCCAGTCTGAGCATACTCTGGCTGCAGAAGCAATAAGGTTTCTATTTCTCCAAGAAGCAAAAGATTTCATTTCTAAAGCAAGATCTACAGATACTGAACATTTCTTCACGTGCTGAAATCCCTGCTGTTAGTGCTGAAACTGAACCTATCCGAGTTTGCATTTAAGGAGACCATCAACAGCCTGTGGTTAAATCCTCAAGGGGGAGATAAGGCACCTGAACACCTGTGCATGCAGGATTTATAGGCTTTCAGCAGAATCTCTTTCTGCCCACAGTACTTAACACAAACATGAGCTGTGTGGAAAGCCACGGAACAGCCACCCCCCACTTTTCCCAACAAACAGCTTTCTCCTTTTGTCCTCCCTACATACATGGGAGGTTTTCAGCCATAATGCTAGTGCTGAGTTAGTAACAACAGATTTTGGACTAAAAGCAATGTTAGCTAGGAAAAAAAAAAAAATCTAAATAAAAAATTGCACATAGTTAGGCTAAGCTGTGACATCAGCAGTGATAGGAGGCAGCATTAAATATACTTGGCCCAGCTAATGAACTGCAGGCTACTCCTGCAGACATGGGTAATCTTTACATACCTAAATGGTAAATCACTGGCATTAATTCTTTGATTTGAGTGTTAGTGAGTTTCCAGAGGAAACAGAGAAGAGGATGTTGCAAGCACACCAGCAGGATGGTTTAGAAACCAGCTGTCTGGAGTGTTTTTAAGCAGTTTTGCAATTAGGCGAGAGGATACCCTCTTACATGCAGACTTAGCGCACAGTAGTTGAGAAATAACACGTCCTAGAAACAGGTTCAACCTAGTGCAGACAGACGGAGAGAGCCCACACTGCCGCTCCCTTCTCAAGAGAAAACAGCAGAATTCAGATCATGCACCCAGGGAGCTCCTCTGTGTGCCCGCAGTTGAACAACGTGCCTGACCCTGCTTAACACAGCATCTAATCACTACTGTGCGGTGCAATACCCTCCAGACACATTGATCCCCACAATACTGTTGTAAGGTAGAAAATACATTCATAGCAATTTTACAGATATTAAAGGGAGGAATCAAGAGATTAATTGACTTGCCAAAAGTCATAGAAGAAAGCTGCGGAATAGCAGGAACCGAACACAAGTTCTTCACACTTCAGATCAATGTCAAGAGTTTGTACTTCAGAGCTACTCTGGGAAAGATGTCTTGGCTGTGGCTGTAAAATCCTTTCCTTATCATAACAACTGATTTGTTTGTAGAAGGATGATGCGTATGCAAGATGCGCCCATAAACCATGGTGAGCTTATTGCATTTCCAATCACAAGCTTCAAACATTCCAGAGTTGAAAATAAAAGTAGCATTTAGCTCTACAGTGCATGGTTTTTGTTATAGAAAAAGTTAGCTTCTTCAAACAAGAGCAGAACTAATAATTCTGGTTTTATCATTCATACACAAGGTGTTTCTAAGGGCGCATTTGGCCCCAGGAACAGCTCTGGATCAGGCAGCAGCACAACACATCCTTGCTGGCAAAGGGATCTCAGCACGTTTCGAAGCTAGAGAAACATAAATCTCCTTCAGTTTGAGTGCCTGGACTCTTCTCCAGCTCTGTTACAAAGCAGATAATAAGTGGGGTCACTGAACAGTGTGCAAGAAAAGTTTGTATGGGGCTGGAATATGTCAAGCTTTACAGTGAGACATAAGCTTTAAGATTTGTACTTCCAGTGCACTTGAAGTCTTCTAGAAGCATCAACCAAGGCAAAAACAGTAAGGAAAAGATTCTGCAACAGCCTCCACACTGCAGAAAGCACAAGGCTGGGTGGGCAGCGGCACACACAGCACTGTGCTACACCTACATCGACTAACCAGCTCCCAGAGCTGCTGGACACCACTGTCCTATGGCCAAATCATCTGCTGTGTGCCCCTTCCTCCTCACCATGTCTTTTGCTCTTCTCAAGGAAGGATTCACACAAGCATGAAAGAATGCAAAGAGTGGCTCAGAAAGGAAACGCAGAAGTGAAACTCTGGTGATTCCCAGCTTCGCATCATGCTGTTTCAGACCATTCCTGAAAAAGGATCCCAAGGAGAAAACAGCCAACTCAAACCCAGGCAGGATTTTAAAACCTCACTGCAATCCATGCAAATTTCCAGAAAAAGATGAATCTGCTTTACATTGCCATACTTTTTTGTTAAAGCTAGTAGAAGCAAACTGGATGTGGTCCCCAGTACATATACTATCTGAGCAGTGTCCCAGCACTATTTATTGTTTTTCAAGGCACGCAGTGGGTATGGTATCATCGTGAGGAGATCTTTTCTTTCCACATCTGAAATTCCTGTACAGGGCAGATCTTTGATAAAAAAAAGTAATAGTGAGAAGCAAAATACTTGTCAGAGGGAAGAGAATCACACACACTACTAAGCGTGCTTTTATGATAGCAAACTTTCTTCTACAAAGAAATATTCACAGCTCTGGAAAAGGAAACACACTTATCAGATCAGTGCTGTTTGCAAAGGAAATGAAAAATGGTGAATGTTTACCACTGAAAGTGTTTTTAATGAGCTTAACTGCTGTATGTTAGTCTTGAAGGAAGAGTACAAGTACTTAGAAAAACAAGCAGTATAACAGATTATGAGATCTATTAATTCCCCCTGAACCACTTTGTACTAATATGTATTCTTTCACCAGCTTTGCCCATCCTGTTTTATGGCATGTGGGATAACTGCAGTCTGGCACAGGAGGAACATGCCTTTTGCCAAATGCGCAAGTGAGCTCTTAGTACCTGTGTCACCTCCCTGGGAGGTCCAGTAAAGCTCATGACTGAATCACCAGCTGCTCGCTGCCAGCCTCCTCACTGCTTAACTTTCCAGTGGATTCTTGCATGACAGTCTCTGAAGACAACAAAGCATGTTCCCATTTTCCTGCTTCTGTGGCTAGAACCCAAGGGCTGAGTGCAGGTAACAGTGCAGAAGCCAAGTTTGAAACCAGTTAAAGACAGCGAGTTAGAACAAGAATCTGGGAGTGTAACAATTTCATTAATCATCTTCATTATCTTGGCATACATCAGGAACTTATTAGCAAAACTAAGAGCTAAGCAAAGGGGTATGAATACTCAAAAAACCTGCAATTAAAAGAGGACAACACACCCAAGGGAAGATCAAATAAACACTAATCTGTTAAAAAGGAAAGAAGAATACAGACTATTGGAGAATAGGTCCTTATCACCAGTATGTAGCACACCGCCAGATCCTTCTGCCTCTGCTGCACCCAAACAAGTTTCACTGCTCCCCACAGACTTAAAGGCAGGGCTGGAACTTGAGTGCTTTGAGAATCATGTATGTGGAGAGGCAGAGACTGACCATAAGGTAGGATCAGTCTAAAGCAAACAGTAAACATCAAGAGATTGCAGGTGGGTCAACCTGTAGTGGGGTCACCATCAGGTCCAGGACCTCAGCATGTTTCCAGGTTGCCAATACACCCTTGAATACTTACTGGTCTCTACAATAAATGCACTTAAAAACTGGAGCAAGGCCAGCCCCTGCTGCCATTCAGTGTGAATGACAGCTGGAGACACATATAAGGAATTTCAAACAGGATTTTCTGGAAAAGAGGTTCCCAGACATGCATTAGGGGGTAAAAAAAATAAATCAATCTCTCTTCTATGGTATGTAAAATCCTGCAAATTTGGCCTCAGTAGAAAGCGAAGTGCTTGGGGATTTTGTTTGTTTGTTTTTCAAGATGTAGTTTAAAACACTGTTATTGCTTAAATTTCACTAACAGAAACCTGGGTTTAGCACCCAGGCCTGTCTGGGTTTACATGGAAAAACTGAGACTTGAAGGAACACTGAGCCATCGGTAGTCCCAAGGCATTTTGATGGCAGACACTGAACTCTGGGCAGGCCATGTTGTTGTGGAAACACCAGGCGACAGTTTTGGCTGAGCTGCATTGGCACATGCTACAGTCTGACATTCCTAAACATTGCAAAAATGTCCTTTGCATGCCAAGTGACTGGTGTTGCAAAGGCTTTTGAAAGCCCATAGCGAGGACCCTTGTTACCTCCAACATAACAGTACAACTGGGGACAAGAGATGTGCCTCCCTCTGACATACTGCAGTAAGGATGGAAAGGGATATTCCCAGCCACACAAGCTGAGACACAAGGCAGCCTCACATACTGGGATTTCAAGCACAGAACAACAACTGACTTTTGGGATATAACAGGCAGAGTTCCCATTAACTTCGAACTGTGGAGAGCAGACACCCCTCAGAGTATGTTCCTTAACCACCACTGAGAAGTGCACCTTCTAGGAAAAGCCTGGGAGAAACAGCTGGGTTATATCTGATTCAGATGAAGTCAGACCTCCAAAGAGAAAATAAAATAGAAAAGGACATCTAAATCAGCTTATATGTTAAAGCTAATAAAAAAGAAAGAAAAACTCTCATCCTGTCTCCTCTTCCAAGTACCCAATAAGTGAGTGAAATGCTTAAACATTTCAGACCTAACCTCATATTTAAACTCATACCAGTTTACAGTACCTTGGGGGTATATAAAATGGCCTAAATATGAGTATAAATAATTATATGTAATCAAGATTTCAGGCTCCCTTTGCCTGAAGTGGAAAAAACCCATGTTCATTCCAAATCCAAATTCATTTTGGAAATGAATTTTCATGAGTGATCAGCGTATCTGCTAATCAACATATCTACAGTCGAGCCCCATAGCATGAGTGCCAAGAACAGACGGTACAGATGATACAATCTGCATGTTCATTGTATTGATCAGTTTGATGGATACCCTGTGCCCTGGGCAGATAATTAAATGTGATTGATTGGGGTTGGAATGGACCATGATGAAAACTATTTCAAAAATGTTTTTTCTCCAAACCAATAGCTGAAAGCAGTGCCCACAGTCTTCTAATTTCAAGGTTATTCTGCTCAGAGAGCCACAGGAAGACCTGCGGGTCACGACTGCGGACATGAACTCCTGAAGATGCAGTTGCAGAGCATCTTGCAGCGACAACAACAGTGCCTCTCACCACTGACTGACCCCTGACAGATGCTGCCAAGACAAAGCCACATGAGATACTCGTAACTTGGTTCCTGGAACAACTTTGCCTTGCCTGTTTTAATAAATCTGTGGGAGTTGCAGAACATGATAGGTAAGTAAAGCAGTACAGACCTTTCCTGCTGCACCAGCCAATCTCCCTCAGCTCCTTGCCCGTAAGGTTCAGTTATTGCATCTTAAACTCCTACCACACACCCTTCAGTCTTTTAGCCTATACCACTGGCAGAGAAGCATTTACAAGGAGATGAGGGCGGTAAAGCAGGGCCTGGACGTGCCTTAGTTTCCCCAAGAGTGATACCCTGCAGTAGGCAGGCAGCCCTCATCTGTCAAAGCCCTGCACAAGCAATTCCTCCATCCATTAGCTCACTGGAACTGCCAGCCCATGAAAGCACACAAGTGTTTTGTACAAGTAGGAAGATTGAGAAGGCAGAGTAAGGAAGCAGGCAGGCAGATATTCATAACATGCTTTAAGTACAGTCAAAGCTTACACCCAAAGAACTTTCTGCAGCCTCACCAAAGAGAAAGGCCAAAACTCTAACATATGACAACATTTCAAGAGCGACCTAGTTAGTTACTGTAGATCCTTTGCACTCTTGGCACCCAGCATCCGCAACTGCATATGTGAAAACCAGCACACAGAAACAGGGATTGTTTTTCCCATGACATTTCAAACTAAGGTAAAGGTTGAATACTGCCTGCACCCATCTGTCTGCAATCTTCAGGCTGGAAACAGCAGCACTGTGGCAAATAGGAAAATTATTAAAGGAAAAGAATAGCCATTACTAGAAGACTACAGAAGTAAGTGAACATATTATTTAAAACCAGAAATGGAAGGGCAACATCTACTGGCCGAATTCCTTTATCTGCCTGCTCCCTAGAGGTCCTTTTACTGTGAACTTTGACACCAGTAACTCTCACACCAGACTGAGTGCTGAGGTACATGATCTGTAACGGGTGCTCAGATTTGGCTCTCGCTGCTTGGCTTGTTACAGCAAGTATTGAAACGTGACAAAACTTCTTTCTGGCTCCTCATTCTCAACCACTGACCTCAGACATTGTAACATATTTGCTATATAAAGTCACCCATTATTCAGTAGCAAGGATTAGCTGCTACAGCTAAAACCTGTGTGCCCTGACGTCAGACCTGACTGCAGAGCCACTGAACTCGGCAACTAAATATGTGTAGTCCCATTTACAACAGAGATCATTTAAACAAGCACTCTGGACTTAAAAACCCCAAGCAGACAGGAGGAACAGGCTCAGCATGTCCACCTCACTCAGTATTGCTCCACTATCACATCCCTAATGGCACACTACGGCAGCAGTACACACACCCTTAAACTGATACTTCCAAGAACAGCTCTCCCTCAGACAACCCTGGCTCTGCACAGAATCCATCACTAGCTTTTCCAGCAGCACGCTGCTGCATAGCCACTTGGCACAGTCAAAGGAAAGTGCACTTTATCCTGCATCCGTCAGCATCAGTGACAAGCAGATTCCACATAAGGGCATGAAATCGCACATATCAGGGACAAGGTACTCATAAGAAGTGAGTGAGGTTTAAGCAAGAATTTCCATCTTTGCACTTCTGCCCTGGGAGAATGGACCTGAGATGCTGCTCAGGAAGAGCAAAGATTTTTCCAGAACTGCCAAAGAAGCTTTGACAGAATCACAGCAATTTTTCCTCTCTCTGCACAGTTTTTAACACACAACTGCTGTGAGCAGTGCTGAGCCTTCTGCAGCTCGTCTGAGCTCTCACTCACATCAGGGATCTCTGCAGAGAAATGTAAACTCCCATCTGCCCGAAGGAAGAAGCTCAAATAAAGCAGCAACACCTTGAGCTGAAGTAGAAGTTTTCAGAGGCCAAGGGTCACGTTCAGACAGAGCAAACTGGACAAGTGCTAGGTTCTGGGTCAGTGCTTGGGTTGCACTCCTGAGCTCTGATGCCAAAGGCTGCCCATTTCCCTGGACTGTGCCACAGCCTGTGGAACAGGTCTTGACACTGCTCTGAGAATGAAATCCATGTTTGCTGGGAAGTTCTTGCTGCTCAAACAGAAACCTGCTCTTTTTTAAACAGCAGACAATTACTAAAACAGTACAAAAGCCAACAGGTACTTTTCTGTGGCTTGTTTCTCCCTTCATACACAACAGGCCAAAACCAATTCAAACACCTCGTTAAGTTCACATATTTGCAAAGGTGTCTGTGTCTAAACGCACATATATAAATGTGGATACTGCTGCTTGCCTTTCCTTGCAATTCTCAGGCAATTCCACAAGTTCCTGAGCC